GGCCTGCAGGTTGCAGCCAGCCCTGCTCGCGCGCCCCCGACACCGCCCGACCTAGGCAGGGCCCAAGGCCCAGCGTGGCGGGAAGGAACGGGGCGCCCAGACGAGAACCGAGCGTGCGCAGCATGACCTGCCCGCGAGCCTCGCGGAACTAGGAGACTTGCAGCTCCTGGGAAGCTCACCACGCCCACTTCTAAAGGCCCCGCCCGGCTCCGCCTATCCCGGGAGGTCTCGCCCCTCCCATCTCGGAATTCGACCTGCACTGCCCTGCGGTCCGGAAAGAGGACCCACCCCAGAAAAGGGCCCGCCCAGCTCTGGCTCCGCCCACCCCGGAAACAGCGGTAGGGAAACGGCGGCCCGGCCTCTCTCAGGCCAGTCTGCGGGGGCAGGTTAAGAGGGCCGGCTCTGGGTGGGGAAGGGGAGCCAGCGCGGAACATTGTTGGAGCCCCAGGAGGCGGGAACAGACGCTCTGTCCCTCCTGGCGAAGGGGCACCTCTCATCAGCGCAGGTTGCTCCGGTACTGACGTGGTGTGAGTACCGGAGCCACCTCCGCCCAAGGCGCAAGAGGTTTCTGTGGGCTGGCATTCACGATGCGGGCACCTGCCTCCAGCTACTCGCCTGCTCGCGAAGCACGTTTACAACAGACGTGTTCCCAGAGCGTGTTTGCACACCCTTCTCAATCTCCAGATGAAACACCAAAGCTAGGAAAGCACCCATTCATCAAGTACACGTAGTAAAAAATGTCTGCTTGGAAATCATTTTAAGGTTAAAAGTTCTATCATTTCGTCTCCTAAGAATAAAAACATTCTGAATTGCCGTTTTAGTGGAACTTTTTAAAGGTGGCATCACTTGAAGTTACTTTCAAATTATCTCGACAAACGTGCTTCTGTTGATATCTTGCAAAACTGTTTTTTTAAAAAAATCTTTACTTTTGCAGTCCTCGAATGAGCAGAGGTTCCTCAATTGCTATTTTTGGTTTGTTTTGGTAGTTCTATTGAAAAGCAAATGCTTAAGTAGAGACAAATTGGTATGTTCCCAGAGCACTTAAAATTTTTTTGAGATCCCTGGAGTCCAACTCTGCAATTCTGATTCAGGCTAAACTAGTCTAAATGTAAACTATGTCCTAAATGCATAACACTAAAATATTAGAACCTGTTGTTGGAAAATTAGGATACCTTTACATTAATAATGCTAAACAGTACTCCCTGACTATTCGAAGTACTACTGGAGTATTGTCCTTTCCTTATTGCCAACACTTATCTGATGTTATTTTGTAATTGTCTCGTTTCTACTACAACATGCATATTTCTCTCCCTTAGTATTTTAGATTGTAAGTTCTTTTGAATCTCTCTCACTGTACCCAGCACTAAATTCAGAAAAGGTCTACTGAATTAATCTCTGATGTTATCCACCTGTTGTGCAGGTGGGAGGAAATTTGGGCATGTAAAATATCTAATAGGGGAAGCTCTCATCCAGTTATTAGATGTGTCATTAGATGGGTCAGTAAAATAAGAAAATGAACAAAAGGCTTGACCGCAATCTGTAAGAACACACAATTCAAAGAAAAAGCTAGTTTGAAAACAAATTTAATAACATTGAAGACCAAATCCTGCACACAAATCTGGATAGCTGCAACATTTGAATTGGCCATAGAAAATTATGATTTTTAAATTAACAATGGTATCTTCTGTCTTCAGAAAACTGGTCATGTAATGTGTTCAAGCCCTTGACTGGCAGCATTCTACCTTAAGTCTTGAGAATAATCAAAAATGATAAACATAACCCATTATTTAATGGTTAAAAATGATTCCTTTCACGGGTTGAATATTAAGGTAAAGTAAGTGACTGGGAAGGTTTACTAGTATATACCAAAAAAAGAGAATCTGATAATTTGAAGTGACCCCTTTCTAATCTAGGTCAGAACAAAGAAGTATATTAAAATGATCCAAAATATTGTGAAAATCGTTTCTTAGTCCTTAATGACAATATAAAAAAATGTGGTTCTCAGTGTTATATTATCTCTCAATGCAAAATCATGTAATTCTAAAATAGAAGAGGAAGGTAGCATATTGTTTAGGACATGGCAAGTTTGAAATGAATGTTTATTTTTTAAGTACCTCAAAACATGAATTGTACATTATCTCTTTTTTAGTCCTGTCGGTTTGAGTATCTTCAGTTAAAATGGAAATATAATTTTAGAAAAAAAGATTTAATATCTATTTTTATAACACACTCCCAAAAGCTAAAGTGAAACCACCAAGATTCTTCACTATATCTTCAAAATTAGTTGTTTTAACTATTGGTCTTCTAACCTCGTTCAGAAAACCATGAAGTCATTGGTATATATTTTAAGAACTGTGTAAAGCTAATCAATAAAATATTGTCTGACTAATTAGTCTAAGGTGTAAATTAAAACGTCTTACAGAACGTAAGCTCCTTATTCACTACTGTATCCCCCAGGGCATAGAACAGTAACGAGCACATTGTAGGCACTCATTACATATTTCTTGTTGAATGAATAAGATGTCTTTGTGTTTTAGTGTCTGCAAAGTCCATTAAAACGTGAGGAATCATTCAGATAGTGTCGCGATTTTTGAAAAAGATAACCTAGTTCAAACTTCGGTTTGATTATCATTGGAAGGGGTAAATGATTTCTAACCTTCATTCTTAAGTTCAGATAAACACTACTCACTCTAAAGCCAATGAATGCAAGCATTAAAAGAACCTCTTTCTTGCTACTGTACTTTAAAAATACCGATATGCTCTTAGAGGAAAATGTATAACTTTTCTTAATCAACTTCGTACTCTCTATTCCATGTAACAATTCCGTATCCACATAATACTCTTTTGTGCATACCAGTGGCCAATAAATTTTGTTGCATGAAATGAAATCTTAGGATTTGCGTTTAACTGGGCCGAGACTAGAAGACGTGTGAATCTATGAGTAAAATAACAACCATTTTCCCCAAATATCAAAGTGAACGTTCTCTTGAAGTGGAATTGGGTAAGAAAGTTTAAGAGTGAGGCTCAAACCCTTTTACTTCAAAGCGTAAGTATTATTCGTCGTTTATCACAGTGTAACTTACATTCCAATGTGAAGAATCCGTTTCGAAAGACGAAACAGCTCAATTTAGTCTCGTTTGTTGTACTGATATCCATATCACAAGATACCCAACAGATCGCTTTGAAGAGCAACACTGCAAATAATAATCTATTTTATAAAAATTGGGTTGGCTCGAAATATTACTGGATTACATGTAGTAATTTTTCAAAATTCCCAATGGTCTTGTCACAACATTGTATGGTCGAACATCTTGAATTTCAATACCAGAACGTGCGCCCGTTTAAACTGTAATGTAACTGCTTTATGTCTGATGGAGTGCCCTGTATGGCAACAGCGCCGTACCGAAGATAAGGCTGACCTTCTGAATAGTAGAGGAGGAAAAGCCGAGCACTGCCCTGGCACAGAGATGGTAGAGACGTCACGAGGCTTGAGGGATCAAGCTACTTTACAAGGCTAGAGACAACAACAAGACAACCCGCCCACCTCAGGAAAGAAAAGACGACGCAGACAGCAGAGCTCATAGGACAGGATGCAAAGGCGAACACCAGAGGAGATCGCCGCTAGGAATCGTGCGCTAAATCACAGGCCGGAGTCGGGTGGACAAAGGTAGAGATTGGTCACGCCCATGGGGAGGGGTCTCAGACGGAAGAGGCTGGTCTGCGCGCGGGCCCGTCGTCTAGGCAACGGGATCATCTGGGCCGGAGCTTTTCAGGAAGCCCTAAATCCGGGAGTTTGGGGCGGGGAGAGGAGCCGGTGGGGAGGGGCTGAGACGGCACAGAGAGACCCTAAGACCCCAGCAACCTTGCTTTTGGTAGTCTTCGGAAGTGAGAAAGCGGACTTTGAGAGCAGATTCCAGGGCACAGGCGGGAAGGGGGCAGGGTCGCCCGCCCTCTGTGGGGATCTGGCCCGGAAGCAACTCCCCTCTTGGGCCCCTTTGTCTCCAAGCCGCTCGCCGCTGGGCTTCGGCCATCAACACAAAGGGAGGGCAGTGATGACCGCGCAAGCGCGCGAGCCGCCAAGGCTGCTGGGAGTGGTGGTCCGGCTGCGGAATGGCAGGTCTCCCGCGCGGGTTCGCGGCGGCCCTGGCCATACTAGTACGCATGTGCCATCACTTCCGCCTTGCTTGGCCCGTCCTCTCTTTCCAACCCTCCGCAGGACGCGGGTTTCTAGTACTGTACAGTAGTAAGAGCCCTGGAGGCGTTATCCGACCTCGTCCCGCCTTCTCTAAATCTTGATTGGGCCACTGAGATGAAGGCGGCAGTGAATTAGCTTTCAGGGTTGCCAGTCTGTTCCAGGACCTACTTATAACCCCGCTGGGCGGCGGGTACGGGAGACTGGGGCTGAGAAGGGATCGGGGTTGGTGGCCGGGGCGTGTGATGATCTCGAGGCAGCTGTTCCCGAAGCAGGGTCCGTTCCGGCTGGGTTTGGGCGAGTCTGGCTGCCACCCCGCATCCTCCGGCGGGTATGCAGCACCGCCCGACAGTTCTGCCTCCATATGCGAAACTCATAGTAAAGTTTGCGCCTCGCCTACCGCCCCCTACCCCCACGACCCCCGCCCTGGCAAAAGTGACAGACAAAGCCACACCCCCGCGCGGCGGGGCCGGTGAGGGG